TGGATTCAGGGGGTGCTGGGAAATGTAGCCCAAACCTGGGGAGATTTTCTGTAGAAACAGAGATGCACTGTGGAGGGAGGATCAGGTCCATGTCTCCCCATCTCTGCCAAAATGGCTGCAACAAACAGTCTTGCACAGGTATCTACATGCTTGTTCAAATGAATTTTCAGAATTGGAAGTGCTGGGCTAAAAACTGTGTGCATTTTCCCTTTGGGTGGATAATACACAGTCGCCCTCTTAAAGATTGCAAGATTTACACACCACCAATGTTGGAGCACTCAGCTCTACACACTCTTACCAGCTATATAACTGCTATTTTTGAAAAACTAATTTTCCAGTCTTACAGGTAAATAATATTATCTCCTCATGGTTTTTATTTGCATTTCTTTAATTCTGAGAGAGATTGACTATCTTTCGAATATTTATTTTCCACCTGTGACTTTTTCAATTTACTCTTCTCATAGCCTGTGTTCCTTTATTCTACCAGTTGATTCTCTTTTTCTTATCGATTTGAAGGAACTTTAAAAATATATAAAACGTATAAACATATACATGAAAAACAGATATGAAGTTAAATCTTTGTTTCTTTGTGCAAATATCTTTCCAGCTAGTCATTTTTCCTTTTATTTTTATTTATGGTATTTTTCTATTCCAGAGAGTCCCATTTTTAATGTAGTCTAACTTCTCAGTCTCCCTTCATGATTTTTGTCTCATGCTTAGAAAGCTGTCCTCATGCCAAGATTAATTTTATATTCTCACGTTTTCTTCCAGTGCTAGAATCACACTTGGATCCAGATTTTGCTACTTGCTATGTTGCTTTGGCGATTGATTTTATTTCTCGGTGTCCCAGTTTCCTCAACCCACAACAGGAATGCAGAGAGTACTGCTTTGTAGAGTTAATGTGAAGGAATGAGGTGGTCCGGGCAGAGAGCTGAGAACCACGTCTGGTCCTCAGACATGGCACAACGGTGCACTATTAGCTTGTCTATTGTTTCAGTCAGCTCAGGCCCCTATAACAAAAAGACCACAAACTGGGCAGCATAAATAACACAAATTTATTGCTCACAGTCTGGAGACTGGAAGTCCAAGATCAAGACGCCAGGTGACTTGTTCCGGTGACTTGTTCCGGATGAGAACTCTCTCGTTGCTGGTAGATGGCCATCTTCCTGCTGTGTCCTCAGATGGCAGAGAGAAGAGAGCTCGCCTTACAAGGGCACCAAGTTCGTTAGAAAGGCCCCGCCCTCATGACCTAATCACCTCCCACAGGCCCCCCTCTATTGGGGGTTAGACATCATAGAAACTTGGGGGTGGTGGGGACACAGATATTTGATCAGGAGCGGACCACATGTGTGGCTGACATAGCTGCAGGCCATTCCTTTTTGTTTTAAGATATACAAGATGACTTTTGATGTACGTGCACTTTGTGAAATGATTACGGCAGTCAAGTTAATTAACACATCTATCACCTCACATAGTTACCACCTGAGTGAGTGTGAGAGTGTGTGTGTGTGTGTGTGTGTGTCAGGAGCACCTATGCTTGACTCTCAGCAGATTTCAGGCCTATAATCCATGTTGCAACTGGAGTCACCACACCGAGCACTGGCTCCCCAGAACCCACTCACCTCATACCTGACATATTGCACCCTTTGACTAACACCTTCCCATGTCCCTCACCCCCTGCTCCCCAGGTTCTGTGAAGTTGACACATCGATTCCACACGTAATTGCAATCCTGTAGTATTTGTCTGTGTCTGGCTCATTTACTCGGTCATAAAAAGGAAGAATCCCTACTACTTGACACACAGATCATGGCGGGGGGCCTGTGCTCAGGGGAGGAAGATGTGAGCCCTTTCCTATGGTTAGCAAGTGACAGAACGCAAGCTCAGGCCTCCATCCCAAACCCTGTGGTCACAGGCAGTCGCTACAGCCCCACGAGCCCCCCAGTATCTCCATAAGAAACATCACGTGAGAAGAATCCCTTTCTGGTCCCCATCAGCCACAAGGCAGGACTCAGGACCAGTTCCACAACGCACAGGTATGGGGCAAAGAATGGCCTTCCTGGGGAAGCACGCAAGCCAGGTCTCAGAAGAGACAGGATTGGGGTGGCTCTGTCTTCTCACCATTACGCTGGAGGATGTGCCAAGGCTGGACAGCTTGGGATATACTCAGGGGAAGAGACTCCTCCACCCCCACACCCCATCTGCTCCCCTTCTTATAGGGCAGGGGATAGAGCAGCCTTGTCAGTGGGGGATAATCAAACTCCTGGGACACCAGGCCTCTGGACTTGATGCCAGCTCTTTACAGTTGACCAATTGACTGGCAAATCAGCCCAACACCTGGGTTCCTTGATCACCCACAGGTCAGGCACAGCTCCTCCAGCCAGAGGTGGGGAGGGAGCCACCAGCTTTTGGTCAGTACAGCCATGTGACACATAAGGACATTGTGGTCAGCGGCACAGGTGACAGTGGTCCCTGTGTATAACCTAAGTGTGCAGTGGACAGTCCCACCTAGGTTTGTGTAATTACACTCTGACACTTGCATGAGGAAATCACTTAGCGACACATCTCTCTGTGACAGTCGTGAGCCCTACCTCCTGTGACCTTACACTCTAGGGCGATGACAATGTGGGAGACAAAGACAATGTGTGGAAAAAAATGGAAGACATCTATAGTGACTACTATAGAGCCACAACAGTAGCAAATGCCTAACCCTTCTGGGAAGGGGGCAATAATAAAGGGCAATTAGGGGAGGCTCCCTGGTGGAGGTGACAGTGAACTGATTGCTGAGAGAAGAAAACATCTTGTGGAACAAACTATGCAGGGCTTCGCCCAGAGGGCCCCACATTCCAAGATCCCTTAGCATGGAGGCGGGTGGGGAGAACGCAGAACAGTCCAGTCTGACCAGAAAAGCCACATAATTCCCATTGAGGACTTTATCCTGCAAGCCGTGAGGAATTATTAATAGAGTTCAAGCCGAGACTTAGTCCCTGGAACCTGGGTCACGTGAATGTCAGCATTTACGGCTGTGGACTCGGATGCCAGCGGTCCGGTCCCGCGACGCCAGAAGGGCCTCATTTCCCGCCCAGCCAGCCCGGGTTGCAGCGCGGCGCTCAGTCGCTCAGGGTTGCATAGGTGTAGTTGTGGGACCCCGTTTAAACCTTCTCCCTCCTCTTCGGCTCCTAATTATCCCTCTGGAGACTGCAATGGTTTTCAAGGAGCCTCGTTGTCGTGTTAGGAGCTAATAAATCACCGGAGCCCCCGGGCAGCCAGGCCTTCCCCAGCCCGCAGGCAGGTGTGTTCAGATTTAGCAGCAAAAGAAACCTCCCATCGGCAGCACCCGGAGGGGCCAGGGCTGAGAGTCCCCAGCATGGCGGGCTCATCCGGGCCACTCGTGGGACACTCGGGAGCGCCTTGTGAAGAGGGGAGGAGGCCGCTGTCTGCCGCCTGAGTGACCAGAGCTGAGGCAAACAATTCCATTTCCGGAGAGCCTCAGGCCAAGAGAAGCGCATTTAGATTTCTTTTCTTTTTTCTTTTTGCTAGGGGTGGCGAGAAGTCTGGGTTTTTTCCGGGGGAAGAAGGAGCCGAGCTGTTAGTGGCCGGGGAAGGCCCCAGATCCTCTTCTTCCTCATTGTTCCCAGAGGGAGCTGCTCTCTCTCCCCTCTGGGTGCCGTTCGTCTGCGAGGTGCTGAGAACACAAGTGTGACTGGCCTTCTCCGGGCACTCACAGTCTGCAGTGCAGGGGCATGAGCAGGCATGGCTGCCCTGTACACACCCCCATGTGTACACACTGTATTACAGAGTAAAGAGCACCCCCATTTCCTCAGGAGGGGCTTTGCTTCAGGCTGCCCTCCCACGCCCCTCTGAGCATAGCATCATGGCGAGGAGCTTGTCAGAGACGCAGATTCCTGGCCAGGGCCCAAAGCCTGGTGGTTGGGAATGTGCAGAGAAGGGCCGGGACTCGGGGCAGTGCATCCCTCGTGCCATCTCAATACTCACGAGCCACTGTGCTAAACTCCGTGGTCAAAGCAGCACGCAGTGTGGACTCATGGATCTTAGCCCTGGCGGCCCACTGGAATCATCTGGGGGAGCTTTAAAATTGTGGCTGCTGGTCCCCTGCCCCCAGATGTTCGGATTTAGTTTGTGTGGGCTGGGGCCCGGTCCTGTGCATCTCCAGAGGCCCTCCAGCGGGTCCCTGTGTGCAGCTCAACGCCAGAGGGAGCCTTGGGCAAAGGCCAGTGCTGAAACAGAAATGGCATGAGATGTGTTCCTTCAAGTCTCATTTTCCTTGCCACGTTTGGAGGTTTGGGTAGAAGCAAAGCTTGGCCTCCCTTCAGTCTTGACACCTGAGCACCATGGCGAGGGTGAAGGCTTAGAAATAACACAATGACTTCCCTCCCCAGACACCTTCCTCTGCCCAAGGTCAGAGTATCAAGGAAAGTGGCGGGGGGGACTTCATAAATGAAAGTCACTTCTGGGAATGAAGCAACTTCTCCACGGGCACCTTCCTCACCACTGGGTCTGTGATCAGTTAATTGTGCCAGGACGGCAAACATGGATGAGAAACATACCCACATTGTTGACGATTTGTTGCTATAAATGGATGACATCGAATAAGTTCCACGCATAGGTTGGAGTAAGTTCCACAACGGGCTGAGGGTCCTCACAGGTGGATGCACAAAGTGCCAAGAAGTTAGAAAAAAGCATTTGCAGAGGGCATAGCCTTGGTTTTGGACACGGATAGGGGAGCAGATATTTGCCAAAATGAGTGAGACAAGAATGATCCAGGGTCTTAAAAGATAAACAAGAAGCTCAGCAAGTGTAAAACACATGAAAATGCAGGACCTGTTTGGGGAGTAGATTTTGTGTGTAGCATGACCTGAATACAAGGTCACCAGCAAAGGGCGAGGTATTAATTCTAAAAAGGTAGGCAGAGGCCTTGAGGACCAAGTCAAGGACAATGGGCTTTATTCGATGGGATAATAGCTGACAAGACCAGGTTGGCTTCCTTACCTGGCAGGGGAGATGCCGTGATCACGAAGGTGACTTTTCCAGAGCAAGACTCATCCATTGCATTCCAGATGTGCTGACCCCTGCTATTTCCCCAAACATGGGAAACTCGACTGCCTCATGTGTGGCCACGGGGGACTGTGTTCGTGCTCTCCCCTATAAAAGAAAAAAGAAGATTGGATGTGCTTGAGAAAGATGTTCCTGGTGGGCACAGAATGCAGAATGGATTGAAAGGGAGAGGACAGCAGAAGCATGGAGCTCAGAGTGAACGCTGTTTTCTGGGGTAGATGACAGGGAATAGGTACACCACCTGAGGTGGTGCAGGAGGGCCTAGGAGAGAAGTGGGAGGTGAGAACTCACAAGAATAAAGACTTTGATGCAAAAAAGGAGTCCAGAATGATAACAAGGGTTTCTTCCTTTGTGAGTGGATTCATGGCCATGGCATCTGTGCAAACAGGCAAAATAGAGACGAAAGTCAGGGGAGGAACATGATGAGTTCCGGTGTAGAGGTGAGACGTCTCAGTCTAGAACATGACAGCGTGGCAAGTTGGATCTGCGGCCCCAGGTTTTTGATTCAGCAGTTCCTCGGGGTGGTTAAAGACTGGAAAGGAGTGAGGTCATCCAGGAAAACCAGGTAGAAGGAAAAGAAGTGAGAAGGGTCTAGATGCTTTGGGGAGAATTGAGAAGTTGAAAAGGGTCTATACCTCAAAGTAAAACTTCATTCAAAAAATATTGATGGCACAAATAAATATTGACTTTACTTGTGTCATTGACTATGGCAGACTCCGGAGGTACAAATAAGGTCCATCCTGCCCTGCCCTTGTGGTGCTTATAATCCAGTGGGATAAGCATAGTTTCCACAGAGAGGAAGCCAGGTGGTAAAAGGTAGGCTAGAGTGTGTGGATGGAAAGCAACAGAAACCATTTCTGACCAACTTATTGGAAAAATGTATTGGACGGATGTGTAATGACTCATAGAACACAGAGGAATGTAGAACCAGGTCTTAGAAATGGCGAGAACCAAGATAGCAGAAGGGTTTGGCACCAGAAACTGATGAGGAGTTTCTTTCTAGGCTCCTATGCCTAGTTGAAAGATTTAGTCCAACCATTTCAATCCTTAAGATACATTTTCATCTTTATGACATAATTAGCGCTGGCTTATGACATAGTTGGCCTTACTGCCGTCATGTGCCCAACCAACCAATCTGCTAAAATTTTATCCAGAGCTGACGTGGTTAGTGCCTCAAAGGAAAACCTGGGGGCTGTTGCCAGATGCAGGGGAAATTGTTGCTGATCAGATTAAAGTAACAGATGTGAGGTAAGGCCAAACTGAGTGTTGGACTATTCTTGCAGGAATTCTTGCAAAGTTGCATAGAGAAGAAAAGAGGCTGAAGATTAAGAGGGTTGCATGGTGAGGGGAAAGCTCAGCTGCTGCCTAGCAGCTGGAAACAAACTAGCAAACTAGAAACTGTGACATAAGGAGGAAAAATGAGTCTTCAGGAAAAGTGTAATTTCTCACCACTGCACCCTACATGTACATAGAGTAGGAAGATAGGTGGACAGACAGACAAGACAAACAGTATGTATACAATGTATGTATGTAACATATGTGTGTAATATATGTATGTAATGCATGTGTGTATACACATGTGTCTATAATCTCCTTGCACATATCACATAGGGCTCCAGGATTCTATTTCAATGATCTGAGGAAAAATAAAGAGGGAAGGGTGCTTTGCCTGGGAGAGCGAACCTTTGAAGTACACAGCCATCATTTGCACCACAGGGTGGCATTGTGTGTATGATGCCGTTTACAGCCTGGTTTTTGTGTCTTCTGAGTAATTGTAATTTGGTTTTGCAGCGGATATGCCAATTAGGAATTAGGAAGGTGAAGCTTCATGTGAGAGCATAGCCAAGGGACTGATGGATGCTCTGAAGATGTTTGGAATTGGCCAGAATTTTCTAAACCAGTAAGCAAAAAGATGTGTTCATCAGTGCTCCTGGCAAAAGCTCATAGCTCCTTAGTCAAATAAGCTCAGGAAAAGCTGTACCCCCAAGTCTTTTCTTGTATAGTCTTTAGCGCATTAAAGGATATTGCAAAGAAATCTGTTTAATGGGTTGTCAGATCAACTTTATATCAATAACCCCCATGCAGTTGGGAAAATCCTTAAACAGTTTAAATCACTGTGACATTTGTATAATTTCATCTACTCATCATAAATGCCAATACCTAATTACAACATGTGCCAGCATCATACAATGTGGCCAGATCTCTAAAGTAGGGCTAAAGAATTCTGTTCAAGTGCACTTCTGAATGTTTGCTAATAATGATAGCCTACTAAAAAAATGAATGACTACTCAATATTAATAAGTACTATTCGAATTTTCAACTCACTGAGGTCCATTATAGACTTTGGCCTGGAAGCAGTTTATCGGTTGTGCCAGCCTATCAGTTGCACAATGAATTTGCAGTTTCAAGGGGATCATGGTCAGGGGTGTGGGGACAGTACAGGGGACAGGATCCTAGGCAGGTGAACCCCTGCCTACCTTGCTTTCTGAGACAACCAGGAGGGATGCATGTAACAGTTCAAGAAAAGGAGAGGAAGGTTGAGGGAATTAGGGGTGACAACACCCATCTTTTAGTGTAGGGGAGACTGGCTGTATATTAGGGTTGTGCAGGAGTAAGGTTGGAAGCTGGTGATGAGAGAAGCAGAACACTTCCTATGAAGACTGAGAGAAAGGCCTGGAAAGACAAATATAAAAGATTATTGAGCAGTACTGGGAGCTCACTTGAAGGTAGAATTGATAAATATAGAAAGGATCCAGTTGTCCGGGTCAGCAATTTTCTCTATTGCTGTTTGGCAACCTAAAGACAGAAAGGGCGAAAGGTTGGAAGGATGCATTATTACAAACCCAGAGCAAGCAGTTCAAGGAAACTGATGGTAAAGAAGACAACATCTCATCTGTTGAAATGGTTGGTACAGAGAAAAGTGCAATCAGAGGATCATGGATGAATTTGAAGATCAGGTATAATGAGTGGGAGCCTGGTAAAGGTGGGAGGAAATAAAGCTGCCATCTGTATTAATTTTTTCTGGCTGTCATAACAAATTACCACAAACTGGATGGTTTGCAACAACAGAAATTTCTTTTACAGTTTTGGAGGCCAGAAGTCTAAGACCAAATTGTCAGTGGAGTTATTTCCTTCAGGAGGCTCTGAGGATGAATATGCTGTTTCCTTTCTAACTTTTGCTGACTGCCAACAATCCTTGGCATTTCTTGGCTTGTAGATATATCCCTTCATGGTCTGCCTTCTTCACTGTCTCTTTCTCCCTCTCTTCTAAGGATACTCCTTATGGGCCTAGGGCTCAACCTAATTAAGGAGAACCCCATCCCAAGATCCCTAACTGGCTTATACTTTTTCCCCAAATAAGTTCACATGCATAGGTTCTGGATGGACCTATCTCTTGGGCGGGGACGTGGGGGGCACCATTCAGCCCACTACACAGTGCTGGAGTGGAATTTCAGAGTGAATCACTTCAGAATGAGGGCAACTCTAATGATGAGACTCAAGGGATGATCATGGCCATGAGGATGAGATGCTAAATGGGAAGAGAAAATGGGTATATTTGGTCAAAGAATTGTGTGAGGCCAGGTTGTTGGGTAGAGATGATAATCAGAGCTCAGAAGGATGCGGGGAGCCAGGAGGTTGCATTCCACAAGAATGTGAACATGACTGCCTTGGTCGCGTTCTCTGGTCATGACTGCTGGTGTTGGGAATGAGTGAAGGATGAACTAGTGATGGAACGTTCTCAACTCTGCATTTACATACATCATCTGAGCAACATTCCCAAAGAACCCACTCCCAATCAGTTGGTTGCAGAAGGGGACTAGACAGCTGTGGTTTTTCATTCCCTTGTGGTCTAATATCCATCCAGGTTTAAGAAAAACTAGTTTAAGATAGAGCGTGACCATAATGAGGAGCGAGTGGTGTTCCCCTCCGTCTAGACCTGAAAGAAACACAGGTGGGAAAGAGACTTCAGTGCTTCCCACCATCAATCCTTAATGCCTCCAGCAGAGACGTTGTCAGCCATGGGGTCGAGAGTGAGAAGTTGCCTCCCAGCTGTCAGACGGAGGTTCTGATCCACCCAGAGTTCTGAGGGTCTCTGGGCTTATGCCAAGGATGTATTTCAGATGTGTTCCAGCAGGAAGAGAGATCAGAATTCATTTCTAAAATCCTTACTAGTTCTCCCTAACCAACATTTCCCCCCCAAAAAGATTTCCTTAATATAGTTGAAGTATCTTTCGCCAGAACAATACTTACTGGCTTCCTTTGTACTGTTCTGAATATGTAATAAATGCATTAAAAGTTTCCAGCAGCATAAAAGGTTTACAATAAAAAGCTATTCTCATTTATCCCTGACCCCTGGCTCTGCTCCCACTCAAGTGCCCTCCCCAGAAGCAATTGCTTTTATCCACTTCTCCTGCATCCTTCCCGGAGGAGAGGCCACATCTTGCCTTTTTTCATTGAACCTTCTAGCTTGGAAATCATTCCACTTTAGTACACACAGATCTACCCAGCCCTATTAATTAGCTGGTCTGTCATTTTTTTTTAAACCCATACAGATGGACATTTAGGTGGTTTTTTCTAAAGCAACCCTGTTAAAGATTTGTTTAAAATCAACAGGCATTCAAGGTGTTGGAGATCTAATGCACAGCACAGTGATTCTAGACAATTACTACTCTATTATATACATCGAACTTGCTAAGTAGTAGATCTTACAGCGGCTTCCTCGCCATGTAGGCACAGGTGGCCTCCAAGGCCACAGCAGAGAGGCGAGGGACTCCATGAGCCAGCTGGGCGGAGAGAAATGACCCCTGGGGACCCCCCAGGCATCCCCATCTGATGGTACGTTTCTTGTGCCCACAGGAGTCTGATGCCCCGGACCCTCGAGAGCCAGATCACGCTGGAGAAGACACCCAGCTACTTCGTCACTCAAGAGGCCCCTCGACGGATCTTCAACATGTCCCGAGACACCAAGCTGATCGTGGTGGTGCGGAACCCGGTGACCCGTGCCATCTCTGATTACACCCAGACGCTGTCCAAGAAGCCGGACATCCCGACCTTCGAGGGCCTCTCATTCCGCAACCGTACGCTGGGCC